AAGGACCTGGCCCTAATCGGGTTCTACCTGCTAGGGTATTGTTTCATATTTCCAAAACAAACTTAGAGTTCTGCTGAAACTTAAATTAGCTGATATGTGCCTTAATAGGTTCTTTTATTTTTTCAGAGCTAATTCTTATAATTTATTGTGAATCTCTGGATTTCTGGAATCCTGCCTTGGACAGGCTCTTAGTAATTAAATTCCTAAGAACATTGTGTCCTAAAATCTCCATGGTTCCTTGCAAAAGGAAATATTAGTGCTCTTATACCCTAGAAAAACAAAATTCTGCTATCTGGGCACCAACAGGCATTTTTTTTCTCATCTACATACTTAATCAGCTTCAAAATAATTATTTCCCATTCATGGTTAGTAGTAAAGTTGGGACATTTAACATTTTTTTCTCATTACTAAAATGATGCTTGTTTATTATAGGAAAATTAGAAAATATGGATGAATAAAAAGAAAACAATTAAAAACATTAATAATATCTAGATCTTTTTCTATAAAACAGCATAACTTGGAAGCTTGTAAAAATTTAAGAAAATGCCCATGTTAATTATTCAAGTAATGGATTTTTAAAAAATTTAATAATCTCTCATTTGTTGCTTTACAACTTTGGTGATAGAAACTGAGGTGGCTGRTATCAACAGATTGTCACACACTTGCAATCCTCTTTAGTTTCTGCGTCTACCTATGGACATGTAGATATACTTTAGCTCTTTTTAAAAATTATGCCATTTTTTGTTAATCTGTAACATGTTTTGGGGGTTTAACAATATATCATGGATCCATTGTCATATTAATAGACATGGAGCCGGTGCCTTATTCTTAACAATGTATGATGTTCTACAGTATTCCACCTTGTTTCATTTAACCCATTCCCCTATTGAAAAATGGTTTCCAATATTTTTCCTTATACATAATGCCAAGTAAATATATATATATATATATATATATATATATATATATATATATATAATTGTTTATGTATGTTTTCTACTGCCATATTTTTTCAAGGTTTAATTACTTCTTAGGTAAAAACTAAGCATATTTTATTAGTTCTTTCGATTAATAGACTCAGCTCGTTGGCCCATTTCGCTGTACTGTAGATTAAAACCTTTGTATATCCAAACATACAGGCACACAGGGAAGCAGAGAGCTGTTGCAGTTCTCATCAGTGGTCCTCAGCTCCACTCCCCACCTCATCCCATCCTATGCCCCATCACTTCTCCTCACCTAACACTTCACAGGACCATACTCTGCACTGGGGGCCCCTCTGCATTTTCTGCAGTGAACCTTGTTTTGAAGCCTCTTTCAAAAAGCCCCTGAGAGCTTTTCTAATCTCTCCCACTTTACATGCAGAAGACCCCCCTCTTGCTCTCTGATCCCACCTTCTTCATCTCCCTGTGACAGCCCCTTTCTTGTTCTGCCTCCTATGAAAGTTGATGGTGTACACATCTGAATGCCCTGATAGATGAGGAGTCTTTCCATGGTAGAATTCATCTCAGCTGAATGCAACTTGTCAGCATGGAAATCTCAAAGACTGTTGATTAGACTTGGAGAAGTTACCTAAAAATTAAACAGTCAGAGTTTAGTTTAGTTTTTGCCTTTGGAGTCTGATTATAAGCTATAACTAAACAGTTATTAGAGCAATATTTAGAAAAGATAAAACATACATGTTGTATGTGCATTTTGACCTTAAGGACTTTTTCTTTTATTTCCAGGACAGGGGTTAGTAAACTTTTCCTGTAAAGAGCCACATAGTAAATATTTTAGGTTTGGTCAGCCATAAAATCGCTGTTACAACTTCTGAGCTCAGCCATTATTRTGAAAGTGACCCTAGACACAAAGTGAACTAATGAACCAGTAGCAGCATTCTAATACAAATCTATTTACCAAAGTGCAATGGTCATTGACTTTTGGCCTATCGCTGTGGCCAACTCATGTTCCAGGAGTTTTCTAGGTCCAGATAGACTAACATGAGTTAGATTCAGATTCTAGTTCTTCTACTCACTTTGTGACTTTGGAAAAGTTCCTTAATCTCTCTGTCTTTTTCAATGCAAAGTAAGATTGATCTTATTTTCATGGTAGGCATCTAGTTTATGGGCTTGGAACTTAATGAGCACTGAGTGGTAGCTACCAATACTGCCTTCACTGGAAGTAGCAAATCTATGATAGTTGCCAATCAGTGGATGGCAGACACTACTGGGCAACAACGGCAAGTTTCATGGCAGTTGTTTACAATACTTTCAAGACTGAATCTGGTATAGACAGACAGACAGATACACACACACACACACACAGAGAGAGAGAGAGAGAGAGAGAGAGAGAGAGAGAGAGAGAGAGAGAGAGAGGAGTGTCTGATTCTTGCTGCAATAACATAAATCCTACTAATGAAAGATTCTGAAGATTATTTAGGGTGCCTGGAGCTATGATTATATGAAAGGTGGTACAGGTCAGGCTTTAGGAAAAATTAGCAGTCAAGTAATTGTACCTGGAGATTTACATGAAGAAATACCTTTTTAGCTCAAACCAAAAAAAAAAAAAAATTCATCTTTGGCGCTTTTCTGGCCTTTGTCATTTCCAAGCATTTCTGTTGTAGATCTTGCAAGATGCAAACACTCCTGTGGCCTTTCCACTGCCTATGAGATCCAGTTCAAACACCAGCATTGCAGGCAAGGTCCTCTGCAGCACATTTCTCCCCCTTATTTTGTCAATGCACCTTTCCTTGCACAGTGCAGGGGCTTCTACCAGACAAATTGATTTGCTTATTTGGGTTCCTAAAACTCTTCTCCCCTCCTGTTTTCCTTCCAGCCCAGTTTCTTCCTTTCTCCCCAGTTCTTCCTAATTCCCCTTCCCCCATTCTCTGCAGAGAGCCTATAGCTATGTTCTACCCTTGGCCTCTAAGAACATTACTGACTGTCCTTTTTTTTTTTTTCTTTTTGTTCTGCCTGTGACGATTCCTCGATATCTACTGTAAATAAGCAGCAAGTCCTGCAATATTGGAAGATCATGTGTGGAACAGAATCAAGTCTGGGTTTTTTAGTTCAAAAACTTGACTTTGTATCCTGGCTCCACCATCAATGCACTGTGTGGCTGATGTGGAGAAAGTTCTTTAATATTTATGAGCCTTAGTGTTTGTATTTATAAAACAGGAGTACTATCCCTACCTTTTAGAGTTTTGTGAGAATTAACTGAGGTTAAGCTAAATAGAGAGGCTGGGAGTCCCTGGAAAGTACCTGCCTCATGGGAGTTTTGCCCACAGGATTGGCTTGGTGTTATCTCCCTAGCAATGTAATAATTTGAAAGCAAGGCTATACCAAAGTGTAACCTGTGATTAATTGCAGTGCCTAGCATTGTTAACAGAACTCAATAATCTTATTTGATTTATTTTAAAATTATTTAAAAATCCTCATCAGTGTTATGTAAGGAAGCTCCAGTTTTTAATTTTATATGCTAGAATTAAGATCTTTATTAACCGATTGCAGAGGGATGCTTTAAGATGGATTGAAAATCAATCCAAAGTGTCATAAAATTTGTAGGACTGAAGGGAAAATACCCAAAGATTTGCCAAAAAGAAGTAAGCAGAACTAAAATTGTTCTTCTTTTTTTTTCATATTCTTTGCAAAATGTCTGTGYTATGCTTTTTCAGAAAGAATGTAAACAAAACCTGATGATATATATGGATTATGAGAGAATAAAAAGTATACACATTGAAAATAAAAATATTCCACACATTTTATGCATATCCATGATGCATAAATGTTTTTATACTATTTTTAATATCTACTTCAGTAATTGCTCAGAMAACCTAATGAAGCAAGTACTGTCTCTCTTTTGCAGATTAGAATCTAAGACTCTGAGTATTTAAATATCCACTTGGGATCATAAATGTAGGAGCCAGGTCCTGGGTATGAACCTAGGTCTTCCCATTCCTGGCATGCTGTCCTTCCTTTGTATTACAGGTGATTAGCCACCTAAGGAACTTGGCTCCACAGCAGCCTTGCAGAATCTATATGGCCCAAAGATGCTACTTYAAACAAAATCCTTTTTCAGTTTTTGTCAACTTGATAAAAGTCTTAAGAATTAAGATATAACTGATAAATATAMTTATGCCATGAGATGCATGATTATATGACTTATAGATAAAATTACCTTCATTGCGTATAAGTTATTTAAGTTTCTACATAGGCTTTTGGCAACTGAATCAATTTCTTCATCTGAAACAGAAACTGAAATGTTCTTTCATGAGCATTTCAAAGGCTTGTTAGGATAAAATTAGAGAGTAAGTATAATAAGAAAATATATGTGCAAAGGAAAGTATTGTGATCTTATTAAAGTTATAAATATATACAGAAAAATTAATTGCATCAAGTTCTATTTACCTAAAATTAATTAGTAGGTAATTAGCAACCCTGGAAAAGTTTCATTTTAAAAACTTCCATATTCATTATGAAGTATGAGCTTCAAGTTCTAATAAAGTTCCATGATGAAAGAGTTACAAAATCAGCCCTTACTGCATAGTGCAACATTTTAAAAGTTAATTAATTCTCTGACATTCAGCAATGTAACTAAATTACTTTATATAGTTGTTTGAGCACAATGTCTGTAATCTTCTGATTAAAATAGTGTCAAAATCATCAGTAGCAATTATTATTTACCCATCTACAGCCCTGTCACCCACTGTCTCATCTTCCTCAGAATCTGAAGAGATTATTTTCCAGAGAGTTTTAGAAACTTTTTTTTATAATAGAATSTGGGGGCAAAGGAGACTTTTTAAGTTTCAGGTTTCATAGGCAAACTTCCTGAACAAAAGTATATATTTTTCAAAATCTTAAACTGAAAAAAAAAAAATCTGGCAGGGCTCCATGCAGCATAATACCTGCTAAGTCACTAACGTTTACCCAGTGGTTTTTATTTAAATTTGTGCTGCTGCTATCATGATTTATTCCTACTTCACAGGATAATGAATCTAGATTTTATTTCTGTTCTTTGCCCAGACATGTACAGCAGGCAAAGTGTTTGAAAATCAAAGGAAAAGAAGATATTGACTTGGATAATCTCTTCAGAGGTAAAAACAAAAACATGAGCAAAAACACAGAATATACTTTTTGTTGTTTGGAATGTCTTATCTGTTTGATTGTTTGGCTTTATCATTCCAATAGAGAGTGGTGGAAAAACTTGACCAGAAGTCACGAGACTTGTCCTAGTCCCTACTCTGCACGTACAAATTTCCGTCACTTCACACCCCTAAACCTCAATTTTCTCATTTTTAAAAGTAAAAAGACTTGCCAGGTGCACTGGCACACACCTGTAATCCCAGTGGCTTGGGAAGCTGAGAAAGGAGGATTGAGAGTACAAAKCCAGCCTCAACAAAAGTGAGGCACTAAGCAACTCAGTGAGATCCTGTCTCTAAACAAAATACAAAAGAGGACTGGGGATGTGTCTCAGTGGTCGAGTGCACCTGAGTTCAATTCCCAGTACCCTCCAAAAATTAAAAAGGCTGGACTGTCTATCTTTATGATCCCCACTCAGGTTGGGACAGATCTAAATCTGCTGAAGTCATGGAGGTAAGTCAGGAGTGTCCCACTGCATTTGATAAGTTGAATGACTAAAGGTGTCTCATTAGGCAAGAAAGTTATTTGAAAAAGTTTAGTCATCAGAGCTGAGAAATTTGTCAGTGTGTAGGAAAAAGAATTTCATGTTTTAATTCCATTTGGGTTTTTTTTTTTTTTTCAGTGAAGGCTCAGTGTAGCCCAAATTCTGAGGCTAGGTCCCATGGTAACAAGCTAAAGAATGAGTTTTCCCTTGGTTGTCTTATTTTAGTGTTAATGTTTTGATCTGGTCAGATGAAAATATTTATCATTTGTAGTTAGCATCCTGTGTCTCTGGCCATAGTAGTTCTATAAATTTTTCTCTCCCAGAACACAGTAATATTTGTTTATCTTCTAGAAGAAAGGAAAATTTGTGAGTTTTCTGCTGATTTTAGCAGAACACACCAAATTAGCACAATTGGGTAGCCCTGCAGTTCATCTCCAGTACAATTACTTGTTCAACTTTTCTGAAGAAAAGAGCATGGATGGTTGTCATTGAACAAAAGGATCATGAGGTCTACAARCAGTGCTAACCTGCTCATTTCAGTTGGAGAAAAGATGAATTTGGGGGTTGGAAGACTTCCTGATTTTATCTCAGCAACAAAGAGGGAGGGTCTTTTCCTCAGAACAATGGAGGTCAAAAATTATATGGCTTTCATTGTGCAGCTTTATATTTCTCCTCATCAGAAGAGTTTCTAAATCATATAACCAGAGCTGAAGCTTGCTTTAAATAAATAACTGGTATTTTAGAAACTCCTCCATACAAATGTTCTCATCCATTTTACCAAGCCTTCATTCTGTAAGCAACATGTTTTGGAATCACATAAGGAGCCTTAAAAAAAAAAAAAGTGTCGGTGTTTTAATTCATATTTTGACACTTTTGAAAATTTCTCCACAGAGTAATTATGTATATGTTCTTGTTAAAACAGATACACAGTTTTGTAGTTCACATAGTAAAAGTAGTAATGAGGATCATCCTGACTAAAATAGAAAATATCACTAGCAAAATGCATTTGCATAATGTGAACGATGAAATCTCTTACATCTTGTTCAGTATGCACTTGTTCTTTTCTGCATCACTTGTAAAAAGTTTATGCCCATATGCTTTTATTTATTCATGCATTCACTGTGTGCTTTAATTTAAACATTACAGTTTCTTCATAGTGGAGGTCATTGGTAACAGATATGACAGTGATATCAGAAGACATGCAGAGAAACACCTGCCTCGGGTRCCTGTGGACCCCTAATTCTCTGCATGGGGAAATGCCATGGGGGTCTCTTTGATTTCGTGGAAATATCCAGTTGGTACTCACAGATCCAACTTTCTCAGTCTAGCCTGTCACCCAGAGCTGTTCTTCCTATATCAGACTAATCCCCATTATTATAGTCAAGATCATTTGCTCTGGTTCTAACCTGGATAAGACAAAATAACAAGAATCAATGTTACTAATGTGATATTAAATTATCATTTAACATTATCCTCTTATTTTTAAGCCTGTTAATCTAAAGTCCTTATTGCCCCCCACCCACATAAATTTGAATGATCAACCACTTATTAGGAGTCTTTTTTTAATGAAAAATGAACTAAAATTTGTTCTCTATTTCTCCCATAATAGGAAATTTTATACACTGCATTTGTAGAGATTGGGTACACATGTACACATATATATGGATTCTGATTTTCATCTTAGACATGCTTTCAGATTTTACTTGTAACCATCTTTAATTCTGAAATCATTCTATATACAATAGACACATTTGGCATGTATAATGAAAAAATTTAAAGATACCTTTTTTAAATTTTCAAACATAATTCTGAGAGATGGAACATTCTATCTTTTTTCCTTAATAATGTGTCAAAAATATAAAGTTACTTTCTAATGATACAAGTTTGTTGAGGAAAGCATGGTTTTCTTAAAAGGATGTTTGGTGGTGAAATTGACAGGTTTTCAGTTGGCATTTAAATAAATAACTGGTATTTTAGATATTCAGTTGGAGTTTGTCTCACTAATCTTCAGTTTACAGGAAAGCTTCATGAATGTGCCACCCAAGACAGGACTAGTGGCACTTTTCCTCTGTGCATTTTGTTAAGTAATGCATGAGCAACACCACTGGTCCCTTCTGCAGGATGGAGTTGGGCATCTGGGCAGTGGCCTCTCCGGTTTTTACCCTTGCTAACTGAGTGTTCTACAGAGAATGGGACAAAACTGCTCCTGTAGTACAGCTTGAGTGAGGCTAATTGGAATGCATTTGCACTGATGCTAAGGGACCTGCTCATCTGCACACTGTGTCTTTTTACCCTGCAGAATGCTTGAGAGCTAGAGCAGCTAAGACCAGGCTCCTTGAACAGAGGTCACACTATCTGGGTCCCCTAATTGCACCATACCAGGGGACCCCTTTGTAATTGTGTAAATTTCAACTAGACAGTTGTTTCTTTTTTAACATATTTATTTTTTGGACTCTAATATGTAACTAATACTCATTTTTAATTCAAAAATTTCTTAAGTCTAAAAATGCAAAAAGGTAAATATTATTAATAAATCCTTCATAGATTCATATTTTTAAATTTATTTTTTATTCTAATTTGTTATATATGACTGTAATTCACATTTTTATTTTTTTCAACTGGTAAAGAATTATATTTGGTGATCTTCAGTTAGATTTGTTTCCCCACTTATTGATACCTGGCCTATGTTACTTTCCTAAGTCAGCTCAGATATATCTGCCAGATTCTTTCTTTTTTAAGTAAAATGTTTTAGTTGAGTACACAAGAGATCACATCCCCTTAATCACCAATTGGGTCGGGAAGCAGAACCTGACCCTGTGCTGACAACATGCAGTCCCCTGACCTCCTCCTGACAGGGTAACCACTGATCTGACTTCACTCACTACCGCTGACTTTTGCCCCATTTTGAACATTTTATACATGGAATAATAGCCTGTGTACTCTGATATGTCTGACTTCTTTTGCTGATGTATTTGTCAGATCCTTTCAAATCATGCTTTGTTTAGTCTCATTGCTGCATACTATTAAGTTTTGTGAAAACATAATTTATCCATTTCAATGTTAACTATCTTCAGTTTTGCATTCTTGCCAATGGTGCCACCAGGAATATTCTGTGTGATTTTGTGGGTATGTGTATGCATTTTTGTGGACTAAACATCAGTGAGGGGGCTATCTGGGTAATTAGGTTTGCTTAATAAGTTCAACTTCACAAGCTAGTATCAAATGTTTTTACAAAATGGTTTATTACTACTCCCACCAGCACAGGACAGAAATTGTGCTCTGCATCCTTGCCAGAACAGATTATTTGTCAATCTCTAATTTTAGCCATTTTTTTTAACATTTCCCTAAGACCCAGTGAGCCTTGTACACATTTTCTGAGTTTGTTGGCCATTGAATGTCCTCTTTGATGAAGTATCCCCCCATTTGTCTTTTTTTTTTTTTTGAGAGAGAGAGAGGGAGGAGAGAATTTTTTTAATATATATTTTTTAGTTTTGGGCGGATGCAACATCTTTGTTTGTATGTGGTGCTGAGGATCGAACCCCGGCCACACGCATGCCAGGCTAGCRYGCTACCGCTTGAGCCACATCCCCAGCCCCAGCCCCATTTGTCTGTTAGATTGTCTTGTTATTATTGATATGCAGGGGTTCTTTTTGTGGGGTGATGAATCCACTGTTGATAGATATTGCAGATAACCTTCTCCAGCCTCTTTTTTGCCTTTTCACTCTCTTAATGATGCCTTATGGCAAATACAAATTCCAACTTTCAATGTAGTTCATCAGTCCTTCCTGTTTGGTTAGCACTTTTAGTGTCTTATTTGATTGATTGATTGATTGATTTAGCCTATTCAGTGTTCATGAAGGTGCTTTTCTATTTTTCATTGTAAATTATTTTTTGTCTTTCACATCTAGATCCAGATTGGACCTGGAACTGATTTTATATATGGTATAAAGTAGGGTTCAAAATTCACTTTCTCTGTGAATTTTCTCTGTGAATGTCAGATGACTCAGCACCAAGTATTAAGAAGCTCTTTCTTCCACTGATGTGTGGCAATGTCACTTTGTCATAAATCAGGTTAACTATATATGTGTGGATCTGTTTCTGAATTCTGTTTGGTTCCATTGTTTATCTAACTATTCTTTTGTCAATATCAAGCTGTCTTAATTAATTATCACAGCTTTATATAATAAATCCTGATCTAAAAATGTCACTCCTCAACTTTGTTCTTCTATGGTATTGTCCTATTTTTGTCCCTTTACATTTCTAATTAGCTTACCTATTTACCACACACTCACCCCATAGGACTTACTCTGATTCTAATTAGAATTATAGCGAATTGGTACACCAGTTGCAGGTAAGTTGGCACCTTCTAAGTCATGAATGTGGTATATCCTTCAGTTTCATAATTTTCAATAATATTAGGCAGTTTCCCTGAGCTAACCTCTCCACTATTGAATAGATATAATGACAGCA